GGGGGGGGGGGGGTGAATGGCGGCGCGATTGTGTCTTCATCACCACCGAGGAGTGTGCTCGTGGCGCGAACTCTGTTACAGCCGCACGCGTCAGGTTGCTGTTCACCGTAAAAGTTGGTGATCGCTCCGCGCTGTGTGCATAAGTGCGTTGGTACTCTTGTGTTTTGTGTTTCTGACACTCCCGACGAGTACACCGGGATGTGGATTGTCGAGCCGGATGTATCAGCAATGAAGGGACCTGTATATCAAGTCTTGCATCTGGATACTATATATCGTCTTGCTCATCTACTCCCAATCATCAGCCCTGATCCTGTGCATCTCAATATGCTAGCCTTCTGAGGCACTGGATTGTGTTTGCTCTTTGTATTTGAATACGCAGGCCGATCACAGTAGTTTAAATTTACTCTACCGTTGATGTATCCCCTCGTAGTTCTATTTTACTAGTGAGCTCTAGTATAGATCCTTATACCAACACATGCTTGACTTTTTGGTGCTCGCTGGCAAAGTTGTCAAGAGAAGATGGATAGTAGAAGCCAATACTCGGTCATCGCCGTCCCAGGCCGGTGTTTGCAATGCTCCTTCCGCGCAACCTTGCCATCGACACCCATCATATCGCCCTCAACTCGTCTTTCACCCGCGCATAGTTGCCGACTCCTACATGGCATTACGCAGAGATCTACCCCGTCTAGTCTTTCGAGCGTACTTGCGTTGCTCGGTCTTTCACCTTGTCACTGCGGCTGTTAACCGCTTGCTCGTTTAGCCAGCGAGAACGTTCCCTCCCGTCGTGTCCAAACTGCAACACCCAGTACAGTTTCCCTGAACCGATGCATGCACTTCTCATCATGTCTTCTACCGCGGCCCCGTGAGCGCCTCGCGCCCGGGTCAACTGTACCCAACCGTACTCTCGCCCGCCAACCACACCTCAAACTGTTCGTGTTCACTCAATATTCACCGGCACCTCGTTCGCTGCCCAAACCCCCATCGCCGCTCCGCCAGCATACCCGAGCAAGCTCAAGCCGTGCGAAACCGACTCATCTCTGGCCTTGCTGGTGAAGCTCAAAAATATGATGAATCTAAGCATCATTGATAATATTCTGGCAAGGTCAGACACTGCACTGTATATGCCCTGCAACATATGGCCAACCCGGACCATACCCGCTGTCTTCGCAGACTACGTACCGTTACACGCCCGTAGCGCCCACGTTTCTGGCCCGTTTGTGCCACTCGTCCCTTCCCACTCGTCACCGCCGCCAACACAACTCCCGGCGCGACACAAATTCCTTCAATGATGGCGCCACCACTGAAAACGCCCTTTGCAAGTACGCCTTGGCCTCAAACGCGGCGAGCCTTTGCGGCTTCGTCATCGATGTTCCCAAACGCTGGAGGACAACTACTGGCAAATGCCAGTCAACTCTCTGCTACATCGACACCATTCGCTCGAAGATGCCCGATCTTGCCACTGCGGAGACCGTTGGTTGCTGGCACCGTAAAGCAGATCAGTTTGACCGCGTTGTTCTTGCCGCTGACACGGGCTACGCCGAGGAGAACGCCAAAAGACGCAGGCCTCCCGTCTCACCCACCTACGAGGATGCCGCAATGCCTGTCAACCTATGGCAGCTCGGTTCGCCTGGTAAGTCGCGCACCGAATAGTCAACAATGCCGCCGACGCCGGACCTCCACTACCGGCTACTTGACTCATGTCGCGCATTTATTGCAGCATTCGTTCATGCCAGCAAGTTCTCGCAGGAGGTATACTACCTGACCCTGCATGAGGCACACAATTAGGACTTCCACCGCCCGAGATTAGCCGATGCAAGCGTGTGCTTGGCGACACTTCGGGAGGGTGCTTCAGTGTCAGTAAGACCTCGTCGTAGATCCAGCAGCAGCACCCGCTCAGCCGCATTATGACCGGACCGGACCTCGGTGCTATGACAGTCTGTATGCCTGCTCTGGATGATAGGATCAGTTAAAGGCGCGACCTGGCACCGTTGCAACCCACTATCGGTGCATGCATTCACCACCAGTGTCCGCGGTGTTGTATTTATGTGTGCATGTAACACAACTGTCTATTAGACATTTATCTATATCCACTATCCGTTGATAGCATGTAGTAGACCTGGCTGCATACAGCCTGCTCTGAGTATGTCTATTCATATCTGGCATCGATACTACAAGTTCTATCTATTCTTTTGTTGTAGTCAGCAATGTACGCCAGTTTGCCATTCATTCAGTGACCACTTTATAAGCAGAATCACCTAGAATAACTAGCAATGGCAAAAAAGGTATTAAACAATTGTAACTTGAGACTAGAGTGCTGCGTGCCACTACTAAATCCTGGTTTGAGGCCCTTTGCATAGACCTCCTGCTTTCACACAACATCTGGTCTCTACAGACTCTGAGGTATAGCAGCAGCGAGAGCTGATTGCTTCAGCCAGGACATTGGGGGAACAATGTGTGAGACTGGCTGCGGCACAGCAATGTAGACTCGGAATGTTCTGGACGAGAGATGCTACTGTCTTACTTCAACCCTAAGTTCGCTCCTTGGAGTGTTACCCGTTATAGCCAACAAGTTCGGCCAGTTTTAGGTTGGTTTTACATTGCCAAGCATTACGACAAAGCTATTTGACTAGCATGCGCCTCGGTTTGGCCCTCCGGGCTGGCCGGCCCAAATGCCGGGTAACGTTCACAAGTTCAATGGGTGGCCGTTGCCCGTTACCGAACCTGCAGTAGGTTCGATCCCGAAGTCCGTGTTCCACATTACAAACTTTGGGTCAAAATAAGACAGTATCTACTCATTGCTGGTACAGTCTCACTATGTAGAATCCGCTGAAAGCCTTGTCACTATCTTCCATCTGAGTGTTGGAGCTGTTCACTATGGAGCTTCAAGCTCAGTATGAGGAAATAAACACAAGATGGAAAGAGCAGAGGTTGATAAGATCAAGACGTGTTCCGGCTATCGCCGGGAGAGTGGTGCCTGAAACGGATTTTGCAAGTGGAAAACCTAGTCAAGCTAGGTAATTTTTGCTCCTACTCAATTGTGCTGTCCACGCAGCGGTTGGTTTTATGACTCAAAGATGACGTCATCAGGTTGTGCATTCAGGCGCCACGTGGACCACAATCGTGCCTTTATCAGACAGATGCGCACAAATGCCCATCAGTTTTGTTTTGATCCGCAACCACCATGGCCCACCAGTCATCTCGCCAAGTCTGCAACCTCTTATACTCATGGCTCTACCGATAGCTGATTTTCGAAAGTCCTATACACATTCAGAGTCAAGGAGGAGGCGTTTCTGGACGCACGAGGATCTGCCGCCTATTGTCATCAACAACAGAGACAATACGCACGTGTCGGATGCAGTTGCAATTCCAAGTTTTGCTGAGCTAACAGCATCTCTTCCGAGTAAGTAGTTTTATTAGCATATGCCGGGAAGCATACAAAAAATGTTTTTGTACTAGAGGAATTTCGCTTCCCGGAGTTGAAGGGCGGAGCAAAAGCTGACAATTTGCTTCCTTTAACCGGCCCACCTAAGTCTTACGGCACCCAATATTATTATAACAATGAGGGTAGAGGGGAGTACGGATTTACATGTCACATCCACCTTCCAGAGGCCACGAATACGGTAAGCTGCAATATATGTATTAAAATACGGGGAATAGTGACTTTACGATGTCAGAAATTTATCGTCAAGCCACCGTCAACGATACAAGACAAGTGCCATATACTTCCCCGCTGTGATTGCTCCGGGCGACAGCCAGTCATTGTACCTCAGCAAATCTATCAACCAAAATCCCCGCTTGACTGTGAGCGATACATTTATCATCAGCGCTTGAGGGATCCAATAGAGTTTCGGAAACACGGCAAGTTAGGAGTATCTCTGACAGAGGCACTATCTGGACGCACAAGTAAAGTTGATGGTGCAACTGACATTCCTGATTTTGACACAAGACAAACTATATCACTTCGGATTCATGTCCGTTCTAGTATTTTTTTTTTTTACATTATCGCTGACGACTTTATTTTAGTGGCCCGGATATACCAAACAGACAAAGACTGTTCATGTGTTGGACTATACATCAGATCGTATGCCTCTGAACCGGTCTCGATTATTGGCCTCTATCGCAAGGCAACTCCGGACATATATTAAGGTACAGTGGTCCATCCACTATAATGCTGTACATAACTCATTTGCTGGCAGGAGAGAGCATCAAATGTGTCATGTGATCAACCACAGTGGTCATTCAGCCTCTTTATTAACTCGGACATTGTGATCAATCGACTAGTGCATGTATCCAAAGGGAGTTGGCAGATGGAACTGGCGGTATTTAGAAATTAAATCTGTTACTTAATAACACAAAATGTTAGTGGTTAGAGAGAAAGTATCTAATAAAAACACTAAGAGAACGAGTGCAAGATACTAGGGCCTATGAAGAAGTGAAGGGCTAGGAAGGCGGAATTTAGCAGATTTGTAGAGTAGGTTAGAGAGGTATCCCCCTTGTATACTATAGTACAAACTGTAGAGCCTTATGCTGCTGCTTGGGATAGATGGATTACCAACTTGGTGTCAATGAATATAACAGTATACTGAAACTATGATTCAGACTTGTATGCTAAGACAACGAGTGAGATTTTGTCATTATAGGTGTGCTCAAGACAGACACTACTGTAATTTTACGACCGAGTGTTCGTCACGCATCACGCCGCGCCGCCGAACTGAACAGTTGGGGCGATCTGTCCCACGTCACGGTCGGTCTCCAAACTGGGAGACCGACGGCGCTTATGCGAAGCGCCCGCCCAAAGCGGCCACGGGCACGTAAATCGCGCCTAAATCTGTTCGCTGTCACGCTACGCAGTTCACGACAAACAGTGATGGCGACGGAACAGTTGGTTGGTCACGCGTCACGCAATATTCGGCCGAACACTCGGTCGTAAAAGTACAGTAGCCCACTATCTCAGCCATTGGACTCTGCATCATTTTCTACGTATAGACATCTCTATTTGCCATCATACATGCAAACTAACAGCAAGTCCAGGGCAGGAAACAATCAAATCAATGACATCCTGTGAGCACGAGTTTTCTCCTCACACTGAATAAACAACATCATGCACCATTCCTAGATGCAACGCGCACACTTCCTTGATGCCACTGATGGTCTCGTTGTATATCCCACCACCGTGTCTTCTACTCGGTCAATCAATCTATCATCTGGGTGTTTCTGAAGCCAAGAGTAAAACGGAAACCAAGAGTATAGGAAGAATGAAGAGCAAGATCTCATTTTTGCAATTGATGCCACAGTGATCAATTGCGATAATGAGATCTTGCTCTTCACTCTTGCTTTACTCTTGCTCTCCGCTTTACTCTTGGCTTCAGACACACCCAAATGGTAGATTGATTGACTGAGTAGAGGATACAGAGGTGAGATATACAACGACACCATCAGTGGCATCAAGGAAGTGTGTGTGTCACATCTAGAAATGGTGCATAATGATGTTTAGGGATTCACAGTTAGAGTACCCTCCATTTCAGGGACTGCTGGTGAAGCCATAATTAAAAGGAACAGGAAGATGTAACTTTAGGGCTGAGAGAATAGATGGGAAGATGAAGAAAGAGATGGGGAATAAGTGGTCAGGATTTACACTTACTCACCTGAAGGGTTAACAGTGATAGCTTGACTGATTTCTACCCAAAGCTTTCTTGAGATCCAGAGGGAGAAGTGTAGGAGATTGGTGAGTTCTGCTCTGGCTAACTCATGAATGCTTATATAGCATATGGTGCCCAAGAAGGGAGAGCTGACTTAGGCATGGCTGGGCCTGCATGACAGCACAATATGTGGTCAGAAAGGGGGATTGGTGAGCAGATTGCAAAGCAATTGCACCATTTGTGACTGAGTAAGCACATGCATGTGGGTCAGGCATGTGCAGCTGCTGTGCATCATGTGGGTCATGCTGTAACTCTCTGAGTCATGCTGACTGATGCTTGGGAAGTGGTGCCATCTGGCAAGCTGGATGACATCATTTTGAACCTGTTGGTGTTGCAAATTTGAAGTTGGGGTGATCTAGATGGTTCCAAGACCTGTCTGGGCATTACTGGTGCTGTACCCACTGAGAAAGCCCTTAGAAATGGCGCCATATTATGATGGCATGCCTCTGAGTCAAGTGGGAACGACCCTGCAGGTATGTAGCCTAGCATACATGCAGCTGTCAACTCACCATCCCTTTTAATAGGTTGATTTCAATCCCAAGGTCTTTGTGTATAGCCATTTCTGAAAGCTACTCAAAGTGATAGCTTTAGGTGGCTTTCACTATCTGAGGTTGAAGCCAGTACTCAGGGGAGTCAGTCTGTACTATCAAAGCTACTGGGTCCTAGCTATATAGATCTGCATCAATACTTCTTTCATTTGTTGTCTCCCATGGTTGACTCCAGTTTGCTGAAATGAACTCGGGCCCGAAACGCTATGCAAATGTGACGAACCCGGCCTTCTTGTGAGTTTGAGGTGAGGTGTTCTTGCGGCGAGTTGGTGCGTAGGTCAGTAAACACGAGAGATTCTTGCTGTTTAGAATGGTTTGAGTTCCACTCGAACCTTTTTGACTACTGACCAATGTAATCCTTGCACAAACGACTTCTACGACATCATCGAGTACCTCATGCGTCGGGCACTCATTCACACCATTGCACAAGTCCGCTCCGAGAACAGCAATACGCGCGCCTTCATGTGCAAGTTCCTCGTCGACTTGCTCAAGTACAGCTATATCATGGCGAATACGTACACGAACGTGTTTTATATCTGCGCGATCATCTCACTGTCGTGGGCGCATCTGTGTGCGCATACGCACAGGAGAAGGGAGAGTTGGCGGGAGATGTCGCGCAGGTGTCTATGAAACCTGTAGACGCGAGGTTGTTGAAGGAGGCCATAGCCGAGGTCGACCGCTACAGAAAAATGGACCGCTTGATCCCTTCGCCCCACAACTCTATGACCGTCGCGGCGCCTGTGTTCATGCTTGTGCTCAGCATGGCCAACCTCTTCCCCAATGATGCCAAAATCTGGCTTCCACTCACGCGAGAGGGCAACTACACCCAAGTCTGCCTTGGCGCGTTTGACAGCCTGTCCTTCACGAAGTGGTACACATCCAAGATCGTGCGGTATGTCTTGGCCGTTATAGCGTGCGACTCGAGCCGGGTCGCGAGGAGACAGGTCGCGCGGAAAGCAGGGCGCAGTCTAGCGTTGTTCGTAGCTGTGGGCGAATCAAGGGGAGGAGGATCCAAGGGCGACGAGAGCAGGCCGACATTGATTGAGGAGAACAGCACTGGACAGCCCGCGGATGAGAAGAGGGAGAAGGGCGAGGTTGATGTGCTCATCAAGGCGTTGCGCAAGGACGACAAAATCGGCAAGGGCGAAGCTCTACGCGAGATTTTCCTACCGCTCGCGCTCGACCCGAACACCGACGCGGAGGTGCGCTGGAGCGTGCTCGTCAAAGGAAGCGAAGAGGCCCCGTCCAAATTCAGTATTCATATTCCGTCGCCGACCCGTTATTGAAGCCTGGCAGCCGTCGCGTCTGCAGCCATTCCGACAGTCAAGGTCCCTGTGAAGAAGGCGGGCACGCCGGTGCTGCCCAGCATCAAGCTCAAGCTGCCAACGATGCCGCAGAAGCCTGTTGAGCCGGCACCTACCAGTCCTTCCGTGTTGCCCAGTGTACCTGTGGTTAGGTTGCCGGCGCCGAGAGTGGAGTTCAGCAAGTCACAGCCGGTGTCTTTGGTGCCTGCTCCGGCACCCGTGCTGAAGAAGCCTAGGGCGCTTCCGCCACCTGCGCCACCTGCGTCCGTAGTTTTGCCTTCCAATTCTCGTCCGCCGATGTCTAGCCCGAAGACGCAGAGTGATGGGATTGGCATCGTCGATCTCAAGGCAACGAGCTCAGTCCTGCAGAAGTTCACACAGCACAAGGCCGCCACTCTCTTTTCTGCCAGCCCGTCGACCCAGTGCGCGACTGAGAGCCTGTCTACCTCCATGTCCTCAAACGGCTTAGGGTTCTTTCCACCATGCGCGCCAAACTCTAAGCCGGGCCTTATCCCAACCGATTCCCATTCGAGGCCGACTTCAAGCTCAAGCGCTCATGGTCCGCACCGCGAAAGAGGCGAGCAAGTTGGAGGGCTATTTTGAGGCGCAGTGGAGTCGGATGAGCAAGACGATTGAGAAGGCTCAGCCGGTTGTTCATGCTATGGCACAGAGGGTGATGCCGCCGCCGCCTGTTCTTATGCCTATCGAGGCGCCGGAGGAAGCTTCCAGGCCACCTGTTGCGGCGCCTGTCCCCGCTCCTGCTTCCAAGCTGAGGGGAAGGCCACCGGATAATAGTACGTCTGACGCTGGGGTACCGAGGCTGAAGTTGAAGATCGGAGGTGTGGGCACGCAAATCGCTGGTCCGTAGCCGCCTGCACTTCCGGCTAAACCCACACCTGCGCCCAGATCCAAACCGCGCAAACCATCGAAGCCTGCGCTTGTACATTCATTGCCGGACGATGGGACTCTCGATCTTTCCAAAGAGGTACTGATGATCGAGAAGGAGTGTGGCGCGCCTATAGGGCCATGGCGTCGAGCTTGAGCTCGTCGTTGGCTCCTCCGGTCAAGAGGAAGAAAGATATGACAGACAATGATGAGTGAGTAAGAAGAGGGGTTGAAGCAGGAGCCTGTCTGTGCGCGTGACATTCTCGGTCAAGCTCAAGACGCAGGCGCAGGAGGTTAAGGGCAAGGAGAGGGAACGGCCAAGTACACCTACGACCTGCAGCAGCCGGCCGGAGCCTGTTGAAAAACCTATCGCATCGCCGGTCAGAAAGCCAATAGCCATGCATCTGGAGTTACAAAATGCCACGCCTGTTGAAAAGCCCATTGCGACATCAGTCGGCAAGTCCATCGCTACACCTCCGTCTCGAGTCTCGAGTGCTAGTCACCCCCGCGCCCAGACCGAGTGCGACGCCTGTGGTCAAGCCGAAGACTGCGACACCATGACAACCACCCGCGACACCTGCATGGAACAGCGGGACGCCTACGTCTGGTGGATCGGGATTGGGATCAACGCCAATAAACAAGACGAAGTGCAAGGACGTGTCGAGGAAGTTCGGGAAGTTGCCTGAGGCGTCAATCTTCTTGTGGGCGGTCGATCGACATCTGGATGGATGTCCTACGTGCGTAATATCTCTCCTCCGTGTAAAAAAGGGTAATGGTTGCTAACCACGGCGTGCGTCGTATAGGTACTTTGACGAGATCAAGAAACCGATGGACCCGCGCACGATGGGTGAGAAGCTGAAGTGAGAAGATTATACCACCATGAAGCGTTTTCGCGACTGACATGAACCTGATCTTTACCGATTGTTGCACGTTCAACCCCCTGTTGGCACGTATCCGAACGAGTGCGTGGATGGGCTCGAATGGGCGTTCCAGAAGGAGTGAGCGAAGGTGACCGAGCGCAAGCTGAGTTACCCCGAGAAGAGGAGCCTGCAGACGCTCATGAACACGACCGTCAAGAAAGATTTGTACGTCCATCAGTCTTCCCCTACTGCTGATGATGTACTGATACATTGGTGTCGTACATGTCGTTCGTCTTCCGCAAGCCCGTAGGCTCGATCATGCTCGGCATCGCGACCTGCTTCGATGTCATCCCGTGCAAAGACGCTCGCGACCTCCCCACGATCCCCACCAAGCGCAAATAAGACAAGTGCGAGAGCGCCGCGGCCTGGGAAGCTGACATTGACCTGATGGTCAACAACGCGATCCAACTCAACGGCGCGGACTCGGAGTTCGGCATCCTGGCTATGCAGCTGAAACAGCGCGTCGGCGATCTGCTTATGAACCTGCGTTCTGCATCAGGCGGAGGAGCTGGCGCGAGTAAGAAGCGGAAGGAGGCAGGCGTGAATGGGGTCGGGTCGGCCAGTAATAAGAGGGCGAAGTTGGCCTGAGTGGGCGGCGGTGGGCTCGCGTATGGACTGAAAGTTTGATGCTGTTTTGCTGTGCCATTAGCTGTGATGTCTTACTGTGTACAAGTACTCTACGAGACCGAATATGCGTATTCAGTGTCGCAAATAGGCGTGTCCATGGTTTTCGGACACTCTTGTGTGGGATGCGCAACTATTAAACGTTGCTGCCGTGGCCGTACTTCTCAGCCGTGTCAAAGTCGCGTCATGTGAATGTTGATCGGGAGTATATCAACGTCGGCCGAAGCCGTTGTCCGACTTGCCTCCCAACCATGACCATGCACAGTGATACGCCAGGCTCCAGTGTCTTTGTACAAGTCCTGCTGTCTGTTCATAAGCGAAGTACTATCTTCTATGTCAGTAACTCAAGGGCCCATCCAATCGAGTCTTCTTCGTCGCTGCGCGATTGGCTCGAGGGCGATTGCTTCCTCCCCGCGTACACCGCCCATTCGCAATCAGGTCCTCGATCGTTTCGGCATCGTAACCATTGCTTTCATCACTGGCTCCTGTGCATATGTGCCTGTGCGAAGTATGTGGTGATATCTGTACCAGCCGATGCACCACGCAGCGTGCCGCAATTGAGATGTTTGATATTTCGGACCACTGCTTCACCCATAAGCTGATACCGTTGTTTGAGTTTGAGATGCTGCTCTACGTCTACGGGGCATTGTATGCGTGGCAACTTCGCCAATTGCTATACTTCCCTTCCAACTTCCTCTCAAATTCTCAGGCCAGCCGAATCTTGGCGCTGTCCGTCAGTTCGGTACCGCCAAAGCTTTATTGGAATGCGATCGAGAGTGCTTGCGTCGTGAACCCGTTGCTCCCGCCGTGTTATCGGTTTGCTTTCAGCGCATTCGCGCTCATCCGTTTTCGGGGCTTTTTTGCTGGCTATCGTAGCCTTGAAGGAGCCCGTCTTCATAACTTCTACATCCATCGTCCACCGTTCTCGCCCAGCCATGCTCTGTAAGGACTGCAGTCTCAAGATTACGGTTCCGCAACAGCAGCACAACACTGGCTGCCCCGGCAAGCTGGGCATTGAGATACTTACAGGGGATGCATGCGACTTTGACCTCCTCCTTACGGTGGGCGCTCGCGGCGCATTCGCATACGCTTGTACATGCTATGTATCTGCACGGCGGACTCGCAATCAACTTCCAAATCACCAACGCATTGAGTACTGGACTACACCGTACCGTCACAACATGAAGCGCCACGTCAATATGGAAGGCGAATCCAATTATGTGCTGACGCTAGCAGCCTTTTAGGTTCGTAATCTTCTTACTCCCAATAGTACACGTGGCTGACATCTTCATAAGACTTTACATCCAGTGCCCACACTGCGTTGTACTGGGACTGGAGTACATGCCGCGCTGCACACCCATCATCAACACAGGACTTAGCATCCCAACCCCCTCCAAGACTCCCGACTTCAAGCATTTCTTCCCCATCGACCGCGGCGCCAACTTCTTCGCTTTTTCCTGCACGCGCTTTGTTGGAGCAGACCAACATGGAGTCGCGAGGTACGGCTATATAGGCCACGCGGGCGCCAGATGTACTCATATCTCCCGCAGGCGCACAAAACCGCTCTGCTATATCCTCCAGGTCATCAAACACATCTGTACATCCACCCGGTCCACGCGAGTCCCCTGCGTTTGGGCCGACCGTCCCACCAGTGCCAAGGCTGCAGACCAGGATGAAGTCGAGCATGAGTAGCAGTGCCGGGCGCAAGCGGAATGCCGAACGTATCTCGACCTTGCGACCAACGGACGCGCCCGATCCCCACCCATCGTCAAGTGCCGCCAACGATGACCTACTGCGGAAGTGTCTTCGCACTGCAGGAGGCTCCGACACTCGCGTCGCAGCCACGCTTCACCTGCGCTCGTCCCTTGCGCCTACGTCGGAAGACGCACGGCCGCTAGCGCGCCGAACGCGGGCATCAAACAAGGAGCGGCGCGCCTATTCGCATCCCTTTTCCTTACTACCATCATCGATAGCCTCTGACAGATTCTTGTCAACTAGCGCATGGCGCGACCCGGACTGAGGTATCTACATCAACTCTTGGATTCAAGGTTCTCTTGAGCGCGCTGCGGCTGCGTCTTCGTCCGACAAGAGGGTAGTTCTTCGAAGTGAACCTCAGCCGTCACTTCGCGCATCATCTTCCCTAGCATCGCCATACATTGAAACCACTACATTCACTTCTCGTCATACCTTGGACTGGCATAACCTCTGGCTTATGAGCGAAGACGACGTGCTTGTATCTCGATGAATGCGTGACTTGGGTGGACAGCGTATACAGCAAGAAGGATGGTTAACCCCTACGTAGCTCGCACCTCATCCGGCGGCTGTCGGCTGCATTGGCTGCGGACGAGGACGCGGTATGTCTTCTTGTGCACATTGTGAACATAGACGTGAAGCCCGTGATGTCTTGGATGTGCAGGCCCACGGGAATTCGGTAGGCTAGCGCTCATCCGCACTGTCTGGCTGCTCGCAGTTAACCTGCTACGACAACTATATGACGCCATCATTACCTCTGCAACTACTTCAAGCACTTTTTTGCGCAGGAGCTCACTCGAGGCGCTGGCCACCTACCTGGTCCACGGCCACAGCTACATGACTCGCAGGGGAAGAACAACTGAGTTCGAGCTCCATCTGCGTCTCGTGCGAGTCGCTCGCGAGTGTGTCGAGGAAGGTTTGGACGACTTGAAGGCCACCATGGCTTGGACGGCCATCAGGACGATTAGCAATGTCGGCGCGGCGGTTATCGTATGGGAGGTAACGGCTTGAGGTCCGGGTTGGTCGATGTCCTGTCAGATCTCTTGCTTACGCATGTACTCATCCGGGACTCCGATGCAATTTTTCTTGCCCATTCTTCACCTGTTCGCACGTACAACCCTTTCGCAGTCGAGTCAAACAGCGATCAGCTGATGTCACAGTGTCCGCGGTTCTTGGAACGCGTCCGGTCCCACGCGTACGTCATCGTCGCCTATACTTATAAAGTGTCGAGGCTGAGCGGTTCTGCAGTATCTCGTTAGCCCCGGCCGTATAGCAATCATTCTCGCTCTCTAGCGCCCGCGCCATCGGCCATGGAAAACCTCGTCAACCAGCCCGCTTGCGACCGCGATCATCTACGGTATCTTGCCGAGCAGTACTCGGACGCTTACCTGAAGGAACCTTCCATGGCAAACTTCGACGAGCTCAACGCCTCGCTCGTTGCCAATTTGGCATTCAACAAGTACACTCCTGGCGACCCGGATGTCATCCCGGACCTAGAAAAGGCGCTTGACGATTACACTGCCGCTGTGCACGACCAAAATCCCAGCCGAGTGCTCCAGAACTTGTTCGGTCTGTACGGCTACATGGCCACGCGCGGCGTCGAGGAAGGGCGCGGCTATCGGGATGTCCAAGATCTCAGGCGTAAGGTACGCTTCAAGTGACGATCAAAGTCTACAGCCGTATAACGCGATGCAGATACACCGGGTCGAAAACAGCGGTGCGACGGACGGTCTCCCTTTGATGTACAGCGGCGCCCTGCAGCTGATGGCTCTCAAGTCGCAAGGTCTTGCCGAGAAGAACGCAGCCTTACTCGCCACGCATCGTATCCTGGTAGAGCATGAGATGGAGATTATGAGGCTTGGCGCTGAGGTGGATCGTCTGTCCCAGCTAGAGAAGGAAGCACACCTCGCGAGGCTTCGGACTGAGGTGAGTTTTCTGTACGGAAGCGCGGCTTTTGGATTGACAACCTCTACCCCTAGGTCGCC